TGGGGACTTTGGTGTCCAAAAGGGAGTGAGTGCAAAACTGCTGACAAGACTGTTATTAAAATGTCCTTTTTCAGCCTCCCCCTTATGCTTTCCACCAGGACATACTGAGCACCTACTATGAGTAGATGCAGTGGTAGGAAGGAAGGTAGGTGTCTGTGTGGCTAAGATGGAGTGGGGTTCAGGGATGTATGGAGCAGGCACACACAGGCATGCATAATGAACATAGTGAACGCTGCATTTCTCTACATAAAACACTTGCACTCAGGGACCTGCCCTCTGGGTGGCTTCCAGGTCTTCACACCAGCCTTGTTAGCCTCTCATGCTTGGTGTCTTGTCCTGAATTATTCACTACTCTCTGATTTCATCAAGCACTTGCCGTGGAGCAAGAGTGCTGATTTCTTCACAGTGCTCTGTTCCTCCAGGGACCATGAAGATCATTTCCAAGGCTGCTTGGTACAGTGCGTGGCCCATGGTACCTGAGTCAGTGGGAAAACCTAGTGTTGAGACTCTTGAAGCTCCAGAAAATGGCAAGTCTGGGGTATACATCCCTGTCCCATGCCGCCACAGAGAACCGAAGTCTGTAGGATCTTGGATGTGTGCAGCTGCGGCAACTCTGAGAGTATCTGAGCTTGTTTCTCCTGGAAGCAGCTGTGGCTGTGGACAAAGTTGATCTGGATGTTGTCCCAAAAAACAGGAGTGGGGGGTGAAGGAGTGAGTCAGGGCAGGACGAGAGCCAGGGGTTTGCTGTTAGGATAGTGCTATAGGCTGTGTGAGTTGGACTCTTGATGCTGCCTCAGTGGCTCCTAGCAGTTGCCTGCCTGTGATAATCTTCCAGAAGGCTGCATGCTGGCTCTGTTGTAGCCATGGCCCAAGTTGTGTGTGGGACATGAGGATGTGATGAGAGCCTGCTGACACCTGCTGCAGGGACCCTCAGAACCTGCACAAAGCACAGCCTAGGCTTTGATGTGTGTGTGGCTCTGGCACACTCTCTGCTTGTCCAGCGTTTTCTTTTACTCTCTCAAATTTCTCACTCCTTCCTTCTTTTCTCCTCATTACTTCTCAACACTGTTACATTGGGGACCAAGACCCTAGAACATGAGTCTTTGGGGGAATATCCAGTATGGTTGTTTGATCTGCTTCTAGTACTCTAATAAGAGACACAGGCGAGAAGTGATAAGCATGTGAAGTTATATGCTTGGAAGTCATGGCCCTAACTGTGTAGGGGTGAGGGAGATGTTTTATGGCAGATCTTGGGGGACTTTAACAGCTTCCCCTAATGTAGACAAGAGGGCAGCCATTGAAGGGTTTTAAGCAGGAAAGGGCCAGTATTAGATTATGATTTTAAAATGGTTCACTCTGGAACTAAATTGGAAGCTGCTTTAGTTGAGATTCTGGTAGTGGAGGCACCAGTTAAAAATGCATTTAGGAGCTAAGTGCTGGTAGCTCGCACCTGTTATTCTTGGGAGGCAGAGATCAGGTGGATTGCAAGTTTGAAGCCAGCCTGGGCAAAAGACCCTATCTCAACCAACAGCTCGGTATGGTGGTACATGCCTGCCATTGCAGCTATGCTGAGAAGCACATATAGAAGGATCACGGTCCAGGCTGCCCCAGGCAAAAGCGAGACTCTCTCTCAAAAATAACCTATGCAAAAAAGGCTGAGGGGAGCAGCTTAAGTGGTAGAACACTTGGCTAGCAAGCTCACAGCTCTGAGTTCAACTTCCAGTAACCCCCCAACACCCAAGTGGGTTTACACGTGAAAGCGTCTCATCCTCACAGCACAGGATGTCTAGCAGCAGCGGTCCAGGGTTGCTCAGTGGCCCAGTGGACTGTTAAATCCTGGGATTCACCTTCTCTTTGTGTCCTGAAGCTATCAATGTGGGCTTTTACCTGGCCTCACGCAGTAACTGGCCTTTGCTTGAGTTGCATGTAATCAACCCAGCAATGTTAAGGGGCAGCAATTTGCGTGTCAGGGAGGAATATGGTTCCCAGAAGCCCCAGCACCCTTCTCCTCAGACTTCCTTGGACAGGATCAGTTTGGTCGCCCTGGCACTTAGGGTGACTGCTGCAGCATTCTCTGTTCCTACAGAGGAGACAGCCTTGCCTTGGAGAAGGGACAGGATTTGGGAATGGGTAGGGTAAAGATCAACAGTGTCAACCCCAGTGCAGCCAGAAGGAGGGGAGTTCAAGTAGGAGCTGCTGCAGTAGTTAGGGTGAGAGGTGAGATACATGTTCAGTTTTCTTTTCTCCACCTGGGCCAACTCAGATCTCTTTACTACTTTTTCATCTGGCATGACTTCCAGACTTTCACCTACTTCCCATCCTATGTGCCCAGTTCTGTGCTGTGTTTCTAACATGTGGTACCTAAAGCGGTACTGCGTATCCCCTGCAGTGTGGGATCTCTCCAGCCACTTCTTATTATCCCTGGCTCACAGGGTGTGCATGCTTATTTGTCTTTTGTTGCTTCACACTGTTAACCAGGTTAAGCTTATGGTAAGCTCAAATTCTCAGGTCTTTTTTTTTTTATATGATCATATCTATTCCTGGCATATCATCCACATGTTGAATTGCATCCCATGGTGAATTCATTTGAATTGCATCCTATGGTGAGGCATCATTTAAAAAGCAAAAAATCCCATAAGATGATCTTCTGCCTTTTTATAGCATCCAATATATCCTGCTACAGTTATTTATGCATGTGTATCATTCAATATCTAGGCTACAAAAAAAGACTTCTGTGATTCAGACAATTTGTAGACTTTTGGAAATGCTTTTGTTATAGCCACTAAAAAATGAAATAAAGCAAAAACTGCTGTGAGGCATGATGCATATTAAGCCTCCCAAAATGCGGGTTCTACTAGTAACCTTGAATACTCTCTGTGTCATATTCTGTGGCTTTATAGGGATCTCATGATCATCAAGGGGTGGACGTAAGCATAGGTCCCTGACTTTGAGCCTTGGAGAGTAGTGTGCAGTTCTGTGTGATTCATGATCTTACTTATTTTTCATTAGTTTGTTGTTAGCATATGTAATGTTGACACTAATTTTATGAGTAAAGGATTGTCCAAGCACCTGGATTTTAGGCAAGGACCATGTTCATTTATGGAACATAGGCAGTGGGAATGTTTTATCCCTCTGTCTGCCTCACTTAGCCATGTTTGTTCCTTGTCTCACCTGGAGAGAGCTTTCCTTCAGCCAGCACTCCTTTCTAAGGATCCATCCTTCTCTGGGTCACCTTTTGGACCTTGATTGGTGCATTTATGTGTTGGGCTGACGGAGGCTGACTTGAGTCATAGGAAATGCTAATGCCTGGCCTCTGCATGCCTCCCTTTCGTTTCTCCCATTTCTCTGGTTTCTGCCTTTTTGCTGCCTGGTTTCTACTTCACTCTTCTGATAACCCCATATTTCAGGGCCCTCCAGACCCCCTCCTTCTCTCTTCATACCTGCTCACCTGTCCTACATCCATCTGTCTACCCTCCAACACACACACTCAAGTCTGACAATAGGTTATGTGAAATTACTTCCATTGTGCTTATCCTATGTTTTGAAGACATGATTCTTAGGTGGGCTATTTCAGACTTTGTGCCTGTGATCATAAGAAAGAAAGTTCCTTCAGCTTCCTTTCCTCAGTTTCCTTCTTCCTTAGGAATCTACATAGTCTGCATTCCAGAGAACACCTCTGTGTTCTTCACTGCTGTGGCAGCTTTCTCACCCCTCAGCCAGTGGCTGAGCCATTTTGAAGTGCATTTGAATGCTTTTTGAGTCCATTCAGTTCATTCTCTGCAGCAGTATGATGGCATAACTTTAAGGCGTCAATCAAATCTGGGTGTCTCCTGCTTTGGACGGCTTCAGTGACTCATTGTCACCTTCCAGAGGTACAGAGAGGAGCCTGCGGGTTCCATGGTGCCCTCGACACGTTTTGCTTGACTTCCTGGTGTTTTAAGAAACTGTAGATTAGACTCAGTCTTGAAAATAAGATTTCAAGTAAAAACCTAGAGTTTGAATCATCAGGAGATGTGACAGTCTTACCATCTGGCAGGGTCCTTGGCAGGAGCCAGGCCTATTCTCTGTCACCCAAGTCTACTTCACAGCTTCTCTCACTCACACTACTTGTCTGGACTCTATGAACATTGGAGAGTTACCCCGTGAAACTCACCAAAGGAAGACTCAGATTTCTTCTGGGCAATCAAGACCCTCTAGGACCTAGCTCTCACTTCCTCTACCAGTTCTGTTTTTACCACTCTTTCCTTAGGAAGTCGTACCAGCAGGATGCCAATGCTTTGGCCAATGGTTTTCTCCTCATCTTTGCTGTTCCTTCTTGGACTTGAACACTGCCTTTCTTTCTTTCTTTTTTTTCTTAAACACTCTTACTCCTTGGGCCACACACCATCTACTTATTACATGTTCCCTATTTTCTCAAACCAGTGCTTCGCTAACCCTTACTTTTTATACTTAACTGAAGGTTTCCTTTCTATGAAATCTTTCTCATCTCTTGGGTGGAATCCATTATCCATTTTCATACCCTTCTCATTTCATTTGGTATAGACAAAGCACCAGCTCTTTTGACATCTGTTTGCTTGCATTTCTGTCTCTCCCTCTTGACTGCAAGGCTTTGAGGATATGAAATGTCCCTTTTACTGTTTATAGCCATCATGCCTGAAACAGGGAAGGTACCTGAGAAGTGTTATGTTTACTAGTAAATGGTTTCTTGGAATCTGAGTCTCATAGACCTTAGATCTTCCTGCAGTGTTTTATTCATGATGCTGAACTCTTCAGGCTTCATGAAACGAGTAGGGACTGTGTCAGCTTTTCCCAACAGTGTGTTCCCAGTGCCTAGTGGTGCATTGAGTGACTGAAGAGCCAGCAATGGTGCCCAAGATGACACAGTGGCCTGTGTGGCATCGTGGGCCAAGGATAGACTTACCTCCCTTCTTATAGGTTCATTCACCAGCTCTGTCATGCTATCAAAGGATGGTTTATACATCTTGGCATTTGCTCCCTAGGTAATGAGTCCGACCTTGAACTGGAAAAGAAGTACAAGGAAGATGATCGAGAAAAGGCTCCGAAAAGACCTCGGGCCCCGAAAACAGAGAAAGTCCAGAAGATTTGCTTGGGAAAGGAGGTGGGACAGTCTTCTGGCATGAAGAAACCCATCATCAGTGTGGTTCTAACTGCTCATGAAGCTATTCCAGGTGACCACAGTGTATGTGGGGTGGTGATAAAATGAGAGCCTTTGGTCCAGAAGTCCTCAGGGCAGCCTGACAGGGATGTCTGAGTCAGAGTTCTGGGTGGAATGTGTGGTTGTGACTGGTTTTCTGATGGAGTTCTCACTTAGTCACCCATGATGTTGGGAGGTGACAGACCTTCTCACCCCATGGGCTGCTGTGGATGATGTGCAGGGGGAGCTGTGCAGGGCTGCTGCCACCCCTGTGGCCTCAGCCTGCATTGCTGTTATTGGATAGCTGCTCAGAGCAGTCCATTCTGTGCCCTCTGCTCAGTGTCTCTCATGCTGCCCAGAGGTGGCCTCCTCTAGGGGAGGTGCCCACTCAGCCCACAAAGAAGCCAATGCTTGCCAGATCCACAAAAACTCTGCCCAACTTCTTGTACTTGTAGTGGGGTCCACTTAATACTTTATAATACTCAAAATTTCCATCTTCCCTTTTCCATAGTATAGTTATTCCACCTTTTAATAAAATCTCTTCTAAGTTAGGACAGTTTAGAATAAAAGCAGTTTTTAATAGTATATTTGAAAGTATAATAATGGTTTTTCTATTCATTTGGGGTAGTAGTTATCAGATAAAATGAAAAGATCAAGTTTAGGATTCTAAAAACTATTACTGCCTTTTAAACATTTATTTTCAATGCCAATAGTAACTACTTATGGTAAAAGCTCTCAATAAATTTCTCCTTTTGTACTTCACTGTAGAGTAAGACAATCAGCAGAGAATAAACTACATAAAATTAGGCAACTGGAAGAAATTTGTGGGAAGTCACTTTATTTTCCCTAGTCTACTTCAGAGCAATATTTCATAAAGAATGAAAATCCCAAAGGAGTTTCCTATTCTCAGTGGTCACTAGAGAAAGTTTACTTAATTTTTCTCAAAAAATAGTGGTGATATTCTGAAATTTCTGTAAGTGAGGGTAGAAATATAATTAATTCCATCTGCTATTCCAGAAACAAGATGTTTCTGGATTTGAAAACTTTCTTTAAAACACTGACATGCACACACATGTGTGCCTGTACACACACACACACACACACACACACACGTTTAAATGTCTGAGCTGAAGGAAAACTATTGTGTTGGATGGGAATTATATCCTACAGCAATGCCTCTGCTGGCATAGGGTCACAGCCACTGCCAGTGCCTCTCAGTAAACAATGTATTGTGTGTCAATATCAGGTGCTACCAAAATCATTCCAGTGGAAGCTGGGCCCCCTGAAACTGGAGCAGCAAATCCCACAACCACTGCGGCAGACCTGGTGCCACGGAGAGGGTATCAAGAATATGCTATTCAGCAGACTCCGTATGAGCAACCCATGAAGTCAAGCAGGTGAGTTGTTTTGTTATATGTAATTCATGCCAGAGGCTAACTGCAAGTGACCTCCACAGGGCACAAGAAGGACGAGCACATTTGTTTGTCTGGACTCTGTTTGAACACTTACTTGTACAGGATATTGACTCATGAGTTAATGGAAGAAAGCTCCTCCATTAATGCCCTCAGTGTTGCACTGCCCTCTGAGACATGAGGCAGTAGAAATGCTTTTGGATTTGGCCCCACTCGGCTTTATAAAGGTGGAGCATTTTATATTAAGCAAACATATATTTAACTTTTATAAAAAGAGGTGTAAATACGGCCTGATTACATTATAAGAAAAAAGGAGGCTGAGATCAGGAGGATCAAGGTTTTAGACCAACCTGGGAAACTAGTTCATGAGGCCCCATCTCCAGAAATAACCAGAAGAAAATGGACTAGAGGTATGGCTTAAGTGGTAGAATGTCTTTCTCTCCCTTCTCCTTCTCTTTCAAAAATAACATATGCATGTTGTAGGAAGTTAAACATCCCATATGTTGAGACTTACTGTAAACCTAACTCCTCTTTCTAGATTTAATTACTGTTGATACTTATTTCATAATTTTTTCATGATATACTAAAATACTTCTGTTACTTTTTTTCAAACAAACACAAAATACCAAATGTATGGTTTTCAGTTTTTTAAATTTATTGCCCCTTGAAAATCTTTCATATTTAAGGCATATTAAAATCATTTGTGTTTGTTATTTTATGAGTCTAGTAGCTTTGCAAGTTTATGCTGTGACAGGCAATGCAGTGATTAATGTTTTCAAAACATTTTTATTAGCATAAATTAGTTGCACAGGGGGGTTTCATTGTGACATTTCCATAATTGCTTACAATGTACCTTGATTAGGTTCAATCCCCCTTCCCCCTTCTTAGAACAATTTCAGCAGATTTCATTATTCTATTTTCATACAAGTCTATAAACTATGTTGATCATATTAAATTTCCTTCATTCTCTCCATTCATCTTCCCCCTCCCACTGGTACCTATTCCCTAACAGGACCTGTTTTACCTTCCTGTCCTTCATTATTCAAAGTATATATTCATTGTTCAGAGGGGTTTTCCATGGTATTTCCCAAATGAATATATGTACTTTAATCAGATTAGGTACCTCTATTACTCTTTCTTTCCCTATCTTCCCAGCCTCCTACTGTTCAGTAACTTGTAGTGCATTTTATTAAGCCATCTTCAAACTCAGATGCAATGTATTTCAGTATTATTCACTATCATTCTCTTCCTTTCCCACCTCCCTCTAGTCCCCCAAACAGTCCCACTGATACAAACATGCCCTCTTGCCTCTCTCTCTCTCTCTAATATATTATATGTAACATACATTAATATATATAATATTTTTATAATATAACATATTACATATAATATACTATAACATCACATATATTACAATATAATAAATATTAAATAATATATAATATAGCATATAGCATACATAATATATAAAATATCACATATAATGTATAATTGTATGATATATGCAATATATTACATGTCAGAGTAATACATTCAATATCATATATCACATACACATAATATATGACAGATTATATATCACATATGTAATATATATTATGTATGCATTTATCTTTTAGGTCTGTCTTATGAGAGAAAACATGCAAACTTTGTCTTTCTGAACCTGGTTTACTTCATATAACATGATTTCCATTTCCATCCAATTACTGCAAATGACATAATTTCATTCTTCTTTATGGCTGAATAATACTGCATTATGTGTATATACCACATATTCTTAATCCACTCATCAGTTTTTGGGCAACCAGGCCATTTCCATAGCTTAGCATTTTGAATAGTGCTGCCCTAAAAGTGGGTGTGCATGTCTTTTCACTGTATCCTGACTTACATCCCTTTGGATACCAGAAGTGGTATTGCTGAGTCTTGTGGTAGTTGTGTTTTTAGTTTTTTGAGGAATCTCCATATGGCTTTCTGTAGTGGTTGCTATAATTTACATTCTCACTGACAATGTATAAGTGTTCCTTTTCCCTTGCATTCTTGCCAGTATTTGTTGTTGTTTATGTTCTTCATGGTAGTCATTTTGACTAAAGTAAGGTGAAATCTCAGTGTAGTTTTGATTTGCATTCCTTTATGGCCAGGGATGTTGAACATTTCTTCATGTATTTATTTGCCATTTGTAGTTCTTCTTTTGAGAATTGTCTGTTCAGTTCATTTGCCCATTTATTAGTTGGGTTATTGATTCTTTAGGAGTTTAGTTTTTTGAGTTCTGTGTATTCTGGTTATTAATTGCTTGTCAGATGTACTGCTTGTAAAGATTTTCTTCCATTCTGTAGTGCAGTTGCTGTTTTCTTTGCTGTACTGAAGCTTTTTAGTTTGATGCAGTCCCATTTATTAATATTTTCTTTTATTTGCTGAGCTATTAAAGTTCTATTCAGGAACATATTGCCTGTGCCTATATGTTTTCCCTGTTCTTTCCTACTGTAGTTTCGAAGTTTTAGGACTTATGTAAAGATCTTTGATCTACTTTGGATTGATATGTGTACAGGGTGCGAGACTGCAATCTAGTTTTAGTCTTCTGCATGTGGATATCCAGTTTTCCCAGTACCATTTGTTGAAGGGGCTGTCTTTTCTCCATCATACATTTTGGGTTCCTTTGTCAAAAATCAAATGGCTATAGTTGCATGGATTTACATCTGGGTCTTCTGTTCTCTTCCAGTGGTCTTTGTGTCTGTTTCTGTGCAAGCGTCATGCTGTCTTTATTGCTATGGCTCTGTGGTGTAGTTTAAAGTCAGGTATTGAGTGTGGTACCTCCAGGATTGCTTTGTCTTTTGTGCTTCCATATGCACCTTAGGATTGACTTTTCTATTTCTGCAAGGAATGTCATTGGAATTTTGCTGGGAAGTGCATTGAACAAATAGATTGCTTTTGGTAGTATGGACATTTTCATAAAATTGATTCTCCGGATCCATGAGCATGAGCGATCTTTCCATCTTCTTTGATGTCTTCTTTGATTTCTTTCTTCAGTGACTTATAGTTTTTGTTGTGGTCTTTCACTTCCTTTGTTAAATTTATTCCTAGGCATTTTTTTGTTGTTGTTGAGGCTATTGTGAATGGTATTGTTTTCCTGATTTCCTTGTCAGTCTTTTCATTGTTGATGTATAGAAAAGCTACTGGACTGGGTGTGTGGCTCAAATGGTAAAGTGCCTGTCTAGCAAGTATGAGGTTCTGAGTTCAATCCCCAGTACCACATACAAAAAAAGAGAAAAGTTATTGATTTTTGTATATGATTTTTTATCCTGCTAGTTTGCTGAACGTGTTTATGAGCTCTAACAGTTTTTTTGGTGGAGTTTTTTAAGTTTTTTGGGTATGATCATGTCACCTACAAATAGTGACGATTTGACTTCTTCCTCCTCTACTTGAATCTCTTTTATTTCATTCTCCTGTCTTACTGATCTGGCAAGGAATTCCATTATTGTATTGAATAAGGGTGAGGAGAGTGGACACCCTTGTGTCATTTCTGACTTTAGAGGAAATATTTTTGGTTTCTCCCCATTTAGAATGATGTTGGCTATAGGTTTGTCATATATAGCCTTTATTATGTTGAAGTACATTCCTTGCACAGGTTGCAAGACTTTTCCTTTCTATTTCTTGGAAAAGTTTCAGGAGTATTGGTTTAGTTCTTCTTTTAAGGTTTGGCAGACTTTGGCAATAAGTCCATCTAGTCCTGGGTTCGTTGTTTGAGACTATTACTGCTTCAGTGTCATTGCTTGTTACAAATCTATTTAGGTGGTTTATATCCTCTTGATTCAATATTGGTAGGTCAAATGCATCTAGAAATTTATCCATTTCTTCTAAATTTTCCAGTTTATTTGAATACAGGTTTTCTAAGTATTCCCTCATGATCCCCTGAATTTCATTGGTATTAGTTGTGATATTCACTTTTTCATCTCTTAATTTGGTCTTTTCCTTTCTCATTCTGCTCAGATTGGCTGAGGGTTTATCAATCTTATTTATTTTTTCAAAGAACCCACTTTTTGTTTCATTGTCTTTTGGACTCTGTTTCATTAATTTCTGTCCCAATTTTTATTATTTCTCTCCATCTGCTAGTTCTTGGTTTGGCTTGTTCTTGTTTTTCTAAGAGCTTAAGGTACATTATTATATTATTTATTTGCGATCTCTGCTTTGTTTGATGTAGATGCTCAAAGATATAAACTTTCCTCTCATCACTCCTTTGCTACATCTCAAAAATTCTTATAGGTTTTGTTTTCATTTTTATTAGATTGTTGCAATTTTACAATTTTTACACTTTATTCAGTGACTCACTGATCATTCAACAATGTGCTGTTTAGTCTTTATGTGTATGAATATTTTCTGTAGTTTCTTTTGCTGTTGAATTCTAGTTTTATTCATTATGATCTGATAGAATACAGGGTATTTTTTCAACTTCTTTACGTTTGGTAAGATTTGTTTTGTATTTCAAAATATGATCTATTTTGGAGAAAGTTCCAAGACAATAATGCATATTGTACAGTTGCTGGATGAAATACCCTGTAGATGTCTGTTATTTCCTTTTGCTCTATCAAGCAAATTATTTCTGAGGTTTCTTTGTTAATTTCTTATGTGGATGACCTAATTATTGCCCTCCCACTATTTTTGTGTTGGAGCCTATCTGTGCTTTTTAAGTCCAGTAGTGTTTCTGGTTTTTTTTTTTTTTTGTGATACTGGGGTTTGAATTCAGGGCCTATATCTTGAGTCACACCATCAGCCCTTTTTTGTGATTTTTTTTTTTTTTTCTAAGATAAGGTCTCCTGAACTTTTTTTTTTTTTTTCAGTACTAAGGTTTGAACTCAGGGCCTGTATCTTGAGCCACTCCATCAGCCCTTTTTGTGACTTTTTTTTTGTTTTTTTTGAGATAAGATCTCCTGAACTATTTGCCAGGGCTAGCATTGAAACATGATCCTCCTGATCTTTGCCTCTTTGAGTAG